AAAAAAAAAAAAGTTTCACAAGAGAAGACAGGGCTCAAGGACAAGCATTTCTAAGATTTCATTTCAGCTGTGCATGTCCATCAAAAGCCTGGCCTGTACCTGGCCAAGGGAGACTGAGGTGGTGCTGTTCACCTACCCATCAAAAGGCAATTTAACCGGTGATTGCTAACTTATGAGTTGTTCTCACTCTAGTGATGACACTGAAGACTCTGAAGTGAAAGAGACTGCACTGCATGAAAATATAGTAAGATGTACTAATATAAAAGAGTGCATCGAAGCTGGAGAAAAAAAGGGGGGAGGGTTATGTTAGGAGGTGGTATCAGATTTTTATTTTCCTTTCATGTCAACTGAATCAGCCTGTGAGAGTTTCTGGGGCACCCCAAACAAAACTAAATCTTCCTTTTCAAGAGTTACCCATGGATCAAGCAAGGATCCTCCAGAAGACACAAGGCAAATAGCACCAACTCATGACCCAAGGCAGATCCAGCCCACAGCCAGGTTTTGTTTAACCTCTAGTGTCAGGACTTAAAATGTTATTTTTTCAATTAGTTATCAACAATTGAAAATGGGAGGAGTTTGTGTTAGGTTGTCGTATTAACAGCCCCTACCTTATTCATGCCTCCCTATCTCTAGGCATGTGGGGAACTCCACTCACTCGGGGCTTGGTCACATGGTTTGCTTTGCCAATGTGACAATAAAAAACAGGACCTAGACAGAGACTTGAAAAGCACTGGGGCTTGCCCCGCTGCTGTGAGTCTCGTAGCTGAGACAGCCCCCCAGCCAAGGCTAAGCTGCTGGGTGAGACACACATGTCACACACAAATACACATACACCCAACAACCAGACAACCCCCAGGAGCAGAGGTGCCTAGCCAACCAGCAGTTAATCTCAGACATTTGGGGCAGCCCACCCATGCCCGGCTCAAACTGCCACCCTGCAACATGATGAGCTAAATAGTGTAGTTTTAAGTCACAATTTTGGGTGTTTTTTACGCAGCAAAAACAGTCACTCCATATGAAAATACATATTCCCAATTTAAAAACGAACATCTCAAGACTCTGCAATACTGGGACCACATTCCTACAGGGCAACAACCAGTTGACATGGGCACTGACTACCACCTTTAGCCCAGCCATAGTATGAATTTCCCAGTTTGTCACTATCATCTTACCATGTTGTGGTCAAGTTCAGATGCCCTATGCTATCTCAGTTGGGTGCTGTTACATTTATGGCCAAGAAGAACAAGTCCACATACTTGAGTTACTATCAGAAGTGAGAAAACCAGTACAATCACTTTGGAAAACTGTTTGTCAATATCTACTAAGGCTGAATGTATGCATACTTCCTGACCCAGCAATTCCACAACTAGGCGTACACCCAAGAAAAATGAAGTGCACACTCCAAAAGATTTACAGAACATTCACAGCAGCATTATTCCTAGAAGTTTCAAACAGGCTATTAACAAACTATTGGGTTGTCAGAAAAGTCACGACGTATTTTTTCTGTTTTTCATTGCAAAAATGCGTCATGACTTTTCCGACAACCCAAGAGTTACCAATAATGTCAATCAGCAGAATAAATAAAATGTGGCATATTCATAGGGATAAATCTCACACATAACGCTATGCACAAGAACCCAGACCCAAAAAGGGGATATGCTGTATGATTCTACTTACATAGTTCAAAAACAGACAAGACTAAAATAAGGGGTTAGAAGTCAAGGTGACTGGTTACCCTTCGGTAGGGGGGAACACGTCGGGTTTCTGATAAGCTATTAATGCTGTTCTGTAATGTGGGTGCTGTTTACATGGATATGTACACTCTTGAAAATTCACCAAGCTGTACATTTATAATTCATACACTTCAATACAGACTTCGATTTTTAAAAAAAACTTTAAAAAGTCGAAAAACAAGACCAAGAGGAGGGCCATGTTTTAAGAAAAATGATTAAGTATTTCCTTCAGGGATATCATGAAGATAAATTCTATACTACAATATTTAATGTGATAAAAAGAATGATAGCAACAAATGTGCAACAAATCATTACAGAAGTATGGCTGGACTCTGGAAAAGATGCATAACAAAACACCTAATGAATTAGGGAAAAAAGGACCAAATGAGCCACACCGAGCCTACTTCACTCATTTGCATTACCAGCCTGATCTCTGTGGGCTTTGAGGCTTACAACCAATGAATTATGAATCCAAGCCTTTTCCAAAAGGTTACCATCATCTCTCAGACTTAAGATAGGGGACAGGTTTACTGCCCCTTAAAAAAAATCAATTACCTTCCTAGTGCTCATCTGCCAAATGGGGCTAACAGTGGCCAGTGGAGAGGGTTGTTGGGAGAACTAAAGATAAAACCTTTGAGACAGTACCAAGGAGACAGCTTGTAAGCAGGCAATGAATTATTATGTATAGCAGTGTTACTGATGATTGCAAAATACTAAAAGTAAAATTAGCGGTGCCCCAAAGGTTGGCTGCTGCTCATAGTGTGAAGCCAAGCAGTACCTAATGTGGAGATTCTGAAGGGGACAGAGATCCACCGGCACGCGTTCCCGTGCAAGCTTTCGCTAACTACAGAGAAACTTAGATTCTTGATAGGCCCCTTGCATCCGCCTGTTGGCTAGGCCCCGCCCATTTTTAGAATACTTCATTTAAGGCCCCACTATTCTTGGTATGAGTGCCTACCCCTTAGGAGTGTAAGCGCTGGAAAGCCTCGGGAATCAGGACCTCAAACCAAAGGAAGCTAGCTAGCTACACAGCAGAGAACAACGTCTCAAAGGTGCCTGATCATCCCAGCCACCAGATTTTGGGGCCCGTCTCCAGACTGAGGCAGCAAGTCTGGAGATGGAGCAGAACCTATCTTTTAATAATGCCAACGCGACTCTTATGCCAAGTCAAGTTTGGGAAACACCTACCTGGTGAAATGTAGAGCCCAACAGACCTGGATCCAAATTCAATCCTTAGAATTTATGAGCCGGGTCTAATGAAGAAAAACCTCTTTGAGTTCCCTTCACTTGTAAGAGAAGACTAACTGCCTACCTCCCAGGATAGTTGTGAAGCCTGAAGACACTGTCACACTCAGTAGAGAGGATTTCAGCTGTGAGGCCCCAAATTTACCTTTGTCCTAATAATCGTTCCCGTTTCTCTCTCCTCCCACGGGCTGGTCTTGCCTCAGCCTACAAATCTACTTCCACTGGAATAACTTCTGCATCGATGTGGACTGACGTGAGCACCTGATCAGGTGCTAAGCCATCTTCCCGAGGCACTTCTCTTTTTTTCTCTTTTTACATCTGTCAGACTTCTTCAGCGTAGGATGTTCGTAAGCATCCCTGGCCTCTGCCGGCAGCCACACGTCCCCCACCTCCCAGTTGCGGCATCCGAAAATGTCTGCAAACACTGCCAAATCGGGGGACAAAATCGCCCCCCCCCGTTTGGGAGCCTGGGCTTCCAGAGGTACGCTATGCATGCACAACCAGAGGTGTGTGTACCTCTCTCTGCTCGCTTTTCTCCCCCCATATTGGCGGCACAGTTACATTCCAACTCACTGGCGGATGTGTACCGGGGGCTGGCCCGGGCCTCAGCAGGAGGCGACGGTCACTCACCAGGTCGCGGATGAGCTGGTCCACCAGCTGCTCCCCGCCCCCGGCGCCCCCGCGGGCCGGAGGGGAACGGGAACGGCTCGCCGCATCCTGCCTCTCGGTCCGGGTCACCAGCGCCGCTGGGGGCCGCCCCGCACCCTCGAGAAGGCCCTGGGCCAGCGCCAGGTACCCCGAGGCCTGCTCCCCGCGTCCGGGGAACACTTCGGGCCGCCGCGGCCGCCGCTCGGCAGCCTCCGGCCGCCGCCGCTTCCTCACAGCCTGGGCCTGCGCCAGCTCCTCCTGCCAGCGCCGGCGGAACTCGTCCAGGTTGTGGCTGTCCATCGCCACCACTCCCGGTCGTCCGCGTCCTCCTCGGCCCTGCCGGGTGCCACGGGACAGTCCCTCCGCGGGAAGTGTCCGCCTCGGCCGGAAACTGGAGGCGCCACTGCACTTGGGTTCCGGTGGGCGGCCCCGCCCCCGGTGGGCGGCCCCGCCCCCAGCGGGCCCCTCACGCTGCCCGCAGCGCCGACGGCCTCTGTGCCTTGGGCCTTCGCCCCGCCTCTCTGCTTTCTCGCCTATGGCTTTTGCGAAACGCACGCTTTGCGCCGCGCTCTATTTCTTTATTCAACCAACATGCGTTGAAGCAACTATTCTATGCTAGGCGCTGGGAATTCAACATTTAAATCTGCCTCCCTCCCCAAATCCATTTAGAAGTGGGAAGGAGAGGACATTCAACAAGTGGATATGAACGTTTGAATCAGTGGTAGGTGTTATGACGAAAATAAAACAAAGTAAAACAATAAAACAAGGCAAGGGATGGGGATGGGAGGGCTAATTTTAGAAAGACGGACAGAGCATGACCATCTGAGATGTCACGTGAGCTACAAGCTACATGAGAGAAACCCAACCGTGGGAAGATCAGATCTCAGAAGAGAGATTTCCGTAAGGAACTACGAGTACAAGTGCACGGCCTATGAGATGGAAAGGAAAGTGGCACACAATCGCTCTCCATCTTCCAAACACTTTGTACCTGCCGTTTTCTCTGCAGGGAATGGGTTAACTCCTATATCTTTCATATCTCAGCTCATACCTCCCAACCCCTGCCTCCCCTCCACCACCACCCCCCAAAAAATCAGGTCTCCCTATTATTCATTCTTACAGCAGCCCATACTTCTCATAGCACAGAACACAATTTATAATATTATATTTGTGTGATTGTTTATTCATACCTCCCTTCCCTACTGAACTGTCAATTCTTAGCTTGGAGGTCAGCTATTAGTATGTTCTCAATAAATATTTACTGAATAGATAACAACCCCTTAAGATGAGAACTATTGTGCATACTTTGCAGATGAAGAAACTGAGCCCCAAATCACATAGCTGGCGATTTGCAGAGCCAGGATTCTAGTTACCACGATTTTTTTTCAGTTCACTGGTATTACCAGCATGGGTTCCAGAGTTAAACAGACAAAGCGAGGTGTGAACCCCAACACCCTCTTTTTCTCACATCCACTTTCTTCCATCAATTCCACTTCTAAGAATTTGAGGAGAGTTCAAAGAATACCCTCAAGGATGTTCACAGAAGTATTGTTTATAGTACTGAAAACCAGAAGCAATCTAAACAGGGCATTGGTTAAATACATTTTACCCTATTGGAATGTAAGAAACATCCTAACTAGAATGTCAGTTCCATGAGAGCAGAGATCTGATATATTTGTTATTGCAATGTCTTCAGCACTTAAAACAGCGCCTGGGACATAGTAGCTGCTCTATAAATAATGAATAAATGAAAAACTGTGTAGCTGTTAAATATCACATTGGAAAAGAAAATTTGATCACATGAAAGTATTTTCACAATATAGCAAGTGAAAAAAGTGAGAATACATAACCATATATACAGGATGATCTCATTGGTGTCTTTTTTAAAAAAGTTTGCATGCATTTAAAAAGAATATACACTCAAATCTTAACAGGTCTTTAGAGAGGACAAGATTATGGGTGACTTAGTGTTCTTTTTTCAGTATCTGCATATTCTTTCTACAGTGAATGTTGTCCTAGCCTGGGTTCCCCCCAGAAAGCAGAGCCTGAGACCGAGGCTTGCTGGTAGCTAGTTATTTGTAGACGTGATTCCAGAGAATAGGCGTCAGGGGCCACAAAGAGTGAAAGGGAAGGAGAAACAGCTAAATCCAAAGAGCATTCTTGAGTTGGTCCTGCTGTGGGAAACTTATGCTCCATCCCACTGGGATCTTCTAAGGAGCCTTGAAGAACCCACCTCAGGACTGTTCTCCCAAGCAACAGAGCTGGAAGAAAGGAGCATTTTATCCACTGGCTCATCCTCCATTAGAGAAAGGTTAACTCCCGAGTTTTTCACAATCTCCCATTTGCAGGTTGAGTATAAGTAAACAGATTCCCATGTATGTCCCACACCTAGGAAGCAGAGATACCCTAGGGCAAAAAGAAAGAGATACCCTGTGCAGCTAATAGGAGGGATCGTCAGGTTTTCTATGCCAGTTGCTACAGCAATGACTAAAGTAAAAGATGAGTCAAGAGGATGTGATGTGGACCATAAGAAGTGCCGAATACAAGTAGGTATTCGTTTTGTAATTAAAATAGATAGACAGGGGTGGTCGGGTGGCTCAGTTGATTAGAGCGCCTGCTCTGAACAACAAGGTTGCCGGTTCGACTCCCACGTGGGATAGTGGGCTGCGCCCTCCCCCACCCCCCCCCAGCAACTAGATTGAAAACGGCGACTGGACTTGGAGCTGAGCTGCGCCCTCCACAACTAGATTGAACCAACCACTTGACTGGTTGGGTCCTGGAAAAACACACTGTTCCCAAAGAAAATTTATTTTTTTTTAAATAGACAATGATCTATTTTCCCCCAATTCATCTGACATCCGGCTTGATTCTCAATGTTTTCAATATGAATTCCAGGGGTCAAACTTGTTCTGATTATCTCCTTGTGGGTCAAAAGCCAAATACCACTCTTCTGATAGCTCTAGAATTTTGGAACATCTATATAAAACAAAAAGCAAACTGGAAAAAATTTAAACACCTAATTATGATGGTCAAAAATCAATGTTTCCTCTTGCCTGTTTAAAAGACTTTTACAGGGACCGTGCAGACAGGCTAATGGGGCCATTAGGCACCCAGGGAAAATGAAAAAGAGACATATGCTAAGAAGGAAAACACTGTCCTTTTGTCAGTATTGTCTACCATTCACTGACAATATTTATGTTGATTTTATCTCTCCCCCATAGCAAATGCCTGGGCCTCCATTTCCTCCAATGAAAGAGGAAGATAAAAATATCTTCCCTTCACAGTGATGGGAAGGCTGATAAAATGCCTGTAAAACACCTGGAGTCTATAAGGCACATAGAAGGTATTCAATAAACGCTGGGTATGATCCCTATTAACGTGGTCATGGCAGATGGAGATTATGTCTAACCTATAGTCTGGTGTTCCACGAGCCCCACCTTTTCCATATCAAGAGTGTCCCTTCAACTTACATTAGGAGACCTCCTTAGCTCTTGCAAGCAGGACCTGGAGATTCACTCCTCATTTGGGGTTGCTAGTGTGTGGAGAACACCAGGAAACTAATATAGGAACTAATACAAAACAATGATTATGACTTCAAAGTATATTATTTAGAATCTATAACTAAAACATCAGAATGCCATAAATAGCTATTTTGATAACAACAGGGCCCTGATGCCCTGATGTATTCATCCCTCTAGACATTATTGTCCTTTGTTGCTGTTCTATGCCTTCATATTAGCCAATATAAAATTCTGGGGAGGAAAAAAAAAAAAACTTTGACCTTTATAAAAAGAAAAACTCTCTGTAGCAAGGCACATTTTGCTTGTTCTGGAGCACTTTCCCTTTAATATTGCCATTTATTTTTAATGCTGCATATAAAAAAAAATGGGATTCAGCTGCCAGTTGCAGACTTAGTCATTCAAAAGGAGGTTGTTTCATTTGGACACCACTCCCTACCTCTCTCCCCAATCCCCTCCTGCTTTTATTGATGCTCTGCCCTCCCCCCACCCCCTTCCCTCAAGCACACACTTTAACTGCTCCATCCTGATTCCAGGATCCTTCCCTCTGAAAGCCTTCCCCTCCTCCAGAGAAGGAACAGCTTATGTCTTTGGGTCCCTTTTATTTGTCTTGAAAATTCAGCTCCAGCCTGATGCTCATTAGAGAAGCTTTGTTCAACCACTGCTGTCACAGAAGGAAGAAGTGATGGGGGACTCTGGTCTGCAGGATGAATGTGCTCCCTCCAGCTCAGACTCTGAGACTGCAAAAACCAATGTCCTCACCTGCCTACTGAAGAAGCCATGCACCAAAGCAACCATGAGTTTTTCCTGGAGCCGTCCCAGTCAGGGCTCACATGAAGTAAAGATATTCTTTTTTATTTTTAAAGATTTTATTGGGGAACTGGGGGAGCGGAAAAGTGTTGAGGAATCGGAGAAGGGGAACAGACAAGTAGCTGTCCTTTTGTTCTTCAGTCTAGTTGTGGAAGACATCGCTTCGCTGGCCTATGTTGGTATTGTGAGCATTGCGCTCTTCCCGGCTGAGGCAGTCGCTCGCAAGCCATTGGACAGCGGCTCATGGCAGCTCACAGCAGCTCATGAAAGTGAAAGCCAGCTGCCAGCCAGCCCAACTGCAGCCTAGGCCTTCGCCGGCGACTCACGGCAGCCCAGCTTCAGGTTGAGCTGTTGTTCACCATCTTAGCTGTAGAGGGCGCAGTGTCACTGGCCCTCATGTGGGATCCAAACCGGAACCCTGCCGCTCAGAGCTGGTGTCCCAAGCCAACTCACTCAATGCGCCACTCGGCCGGCCCAAGTAAAGATACTCTTGTTGTTAGCATGACTTTGACCCTGACTCTGATGAAACAAGGAGCCCAGTATTAT